TGTTTCCTTTGCCTTAATTGCATACTCTGTTGTCCGCCACTTTGGTCTCCACCATCTCTCCTTCTTACCTAAAACAAATAATAATTAGAAGTTTCCATGATATAAAATTTTGATGAGTGAAAACATAGTTGAAACTGTGGCACTTACTGCAAGTTTGTCCTTGGCAATGTTCCTCTTCCTAGTAGGCTTTATGTTGGGATTTCTAGGTTCCTAATAACCAAAGTCATCAAGTCAGAAACCAAATCAAATACATTTAAATGTAAAGCAATAATTCTAAAAACCACATACCTTACAACTACTTCGATTATGCCCTTCTCCACCGCAATTGGCACACTTTAAAGGGATGCCATACCTAGGAAGCTTATATGGATTAGAAGGAAGTTTAGGTTCTTCAACAGCTTGTTTTCTTGTCTTCTTAGGCCTACCAGGCTGCTTGTGGTATTTCGGAGGGAGTAATGGAGGTAAATTAACCTTCATCCACTGATCTTGGCTAGTCATAGGCATAATCATTGGTTGATAGGCTCTCAAATAAGCCTCTTTCTTGTACACTGCATCACAAAAGTCCTCTGGATTCCCATGAAACCAACTTATTGCAGCACATGCATGCAAACATGGTATTCCATTCAAATCCCAAGCATGGCATGAACAAGAGTGGCCATTCAAATCAACAGCAAAGGTGCGGCCACTATGGTGCATTACTTCAAACTGATTCTGTCCAGCAGCCTTAGGAATGCACCACTGAGCTTTTGCTTTGTTTTTCTCTAATATCTTTCTAATTCTTGGCCCAACTTGTCCATGCCATTTCTCACAGAGAACCCTTCTTCCCGCCATCAACAACATTATATACAACCGAATTCTTTCTAGCATAGTCAGAATAGGCTTGTCTCGGGCATCCAGTATGCTACGGTTGAATGCCTCACATAGATTGTTCATAAGCATGTCACACTTGGAATCACTCTTGAAATATGCCCTACTCCAATGCCTAGGATCTTTCTCCATGAGCCAATCATGTGCAGGTTTAGACAACTGCAACATCTTTGTCATCTCTGCATGAAACCATGGCACTGTTGTGGCTCTAGCAATTGCTTCCATTTGATGTTTCAAGGCAAGACCTCTATGTTCCAAATAGAAGTTCCCATATAGATGTTTCAAACAATGTCTATGCTCTGCCTGAGGGAATAGAGTATCCACAGCATCTATTAACCCTTTTTGTTTGTCAGTCATAAATACATAACCATGGCTATTTGTAATATTGAGATCACCACTCAATAATTCTAAAAACCACAGCCATGTTGAATTGCTCTCAATCTCTACATATGCATAGGCAAGTGGAAACATTCCGTTGTTTGCATCAACTCCCATTGCAGAAAGCACTTGCCCAGGGTGAGGCCCTTTGACATGACACCCATCCAAGCAAACCACAGGCCTACAACCATCTAAAAACCCCTTCTTGCAGGCTGCAAGACAGATGTAAATTCTTTGAAACCGTGGCCTATCACCTTCCATTTCAGATTTAATGATAACTGTACTTCCCACATTCCTGGTTCTTAACTCATGACAATATTCCCACAAGACTTCATATTGTTTGCTGTAAGACCCCTCTACAATGTCAACTGCCATGGCTCTTGCTCTGTACACAGTTGCTCTAGATGGTCTGTAACCATAGTCTTGGTGAACTTGCTCTACAAAAGAAGAAGCAGTCCAATTTGGATTGAGCCTTAACTGCCCAGAATATCTTTCAGCCAACCAGCCAGCAGTAGCATGTATATTTTTAGTCCCCTTGCTACAAACATGTGTAGGATTAAAGGTTTTCACCTGCAGGTAAGTGCTACCACTAACACTTGAAGCATAGATAACAAAAGGACAGCCCTCTTCACATACTGCTCTTATTTTGTTACGGTCATTATGCATAAAAATCAACTCCCTTCCACAATTAATGGAGTATATCCTCACAGCTTTTCTAAACAACTCGGCAGTTGCAAACCTTAAACCTATTTTGAAACTTGGGTTTCCCATATCAATTTCAGGTCTGAAATCTTCACCTTTTGGCATCCTCTTCTTCTTCCTTCTTACTTCACCCACTGCATCATCTTCACTTTGTGAACTATTTGGGCAGGTAAGTGTAGGTGACTCTTCTCCATTGTCTGACTCATCATTTTGCTCTGCATTAGGATCATTGTCAAAAATACTATGATCCACATAACCTTCAAACCACTTATCATCATTCTTCACTAATTCAATCTCTTCATCACTCTGTGCATAGTCACTGTCTTCAAAGTCTGGATCACTGCTATCATCATTCTCAGAACAAGAATATTCTTTATCACTGCTATCATTCCCCACTTGGCTTGAAGTTAAGCTCACTACCTTCAAGTACAAAACTACGACTCTGCTATTGCTTTTAGGTACCATGCTCATACAAGCTAAAAGTGTACTATCAGATATTATTTGAATGAGTCTGCTAGTTCCAAACTCTTCACCATAAAAACTCACATCATACCCATCGTCATATCCCAAATCTTTAGCCATTCCAAATAGCTCTAACATGGACATATAGTCAACCTCACAGTAATCAAACCAACTGACTTCACCACCTAAATAAGACCACTGACTGTCCTTTCTATTTTTCACTAGTTTACCTCCATGGAAAAACTTAAATGTGACAACCTCATCAGCATCTTTATCTGCGTAACAGGAACATTCACTTAACAAATGGAAAAAAACACACAAAGAGAAAAGAAGGACCACACAAAGGATAATACAAGGAACACCCAAGGACCACATAAGGTATATTGGGGCCAGCACAGAATAAAAAAATATATGAAAGAACAAAAAAATTTCCAGCAACACACCACACTAGGAACATGCAAGGACCACACAATGATCACACCAGAACCAGCAGAGTCAAAAAGTATACAAAAAACAAAAACAAAATCCTAACAACAGTTCAATGCACATGCCAAAATCAAGAAAATCGAGTAACAATGGGTCCACTTACATATGGGTTGACAACCTCCAGATTCTCTAAGCACCACCATCTTCGCACCTTCTAGCCTTAAAGTCTAACGCCAACGAATGATTTCTTCTCCAATTTCTCCCAAAATCGAACGAACCTCAGATGTTGACAACAACCCTCTTCTCCAATGAACCCTAAACCCAATTTCCCCTTTGTTACAAACTGAGAAACCCTTATTCGAACAGCTTCAAGGTTAAAACAAAGTGGGGCCCACTATTCGTAACGGATCGTCAGGAAATTTGACGGATGGGGTAAATTGAGACGGTTATTTATACGTTGGGGGGTACTTTGAGACGTTTTCCACCACAGGTGGTAATCTGAGAAAAACGTAAAAGCACAGGGGGCATGTACATAATTAAGCCAAAAAATAATTAAGGATTGGCATAGGCCCTTCCCAGAGTAGAAAAAGATGCAATGAATTGACGACAAGCACAAGGCCTTGACGCATGTTACTTGCTGACTTGAATGACTCTTTGCATAAATCTACAGAATAATATTTTCTCACCAAACTTAAATCCAAAATTGCCCGAACATGCAAACCTCAGCTCATAATTGACAAGCTTAAATTTGAGAATATCTTAATTAATATCCTTTTAGTAATGTACGGATCCGTTGCACTATATTTCCGACACAAATTTTTAATTATTAGATTGAAATGGATTGAATGGTTAAGATTAACTAAACTAATTATATATTTTTTAAGAAAAATATATATTAAAAATAATTATTAATTGACTTTCTCTTTCTTATTTCTCTATCCTCAATTAATGTTTTATCAAATCTTCCCATCTTGTCGTTCTCTATCCTCTAGAATTCTTCAGGCAATGACTTTCCCATCCTCCTCCTCTTTCTTCTAAAGATGAACTGTCTTTTCCATATATTTTAATATTATTATTAATCATATTGAATAAAAGCTAAATCTTGTAAGCCATTAAGATGTTATAAAAAAAACACTGAGAGAGAGAGAGAGAGAGCAACACAGAGTTAGACCAACCAAACCATAAAGAAGAAATATTGCCACAAATTTGGGCTTTTTCTTTTTTGGTTAAATACTAATATCCTATTTTCTCTTCAATATTGGTAGGCTTATTGAGACAGTTTTTCTATGTCGTGGGACAATGCTCGGTTGGTGTAGATGTCAATGACAAGGGGAAGGTAATTGTGAGGTTTCGCAGGATATATTAATTGAGAAGTGAGAAAATCTATATCTATATATATAAAGCAAAAGGCAGAGAATGATGAAACATTCAAAATACTAGAAAATCCCCTTGGTTAATTCAAACATTAAGAATTGAAATTATTAATTAAATAGAGATAATATGGTAAATTCACATTTTTTATATTAAAAAAATAAAAATAAAAACAAAATCAGATAATAGGTCCTACTTTTATAGAACATAACTACCTATTCTTAATTTTAAAAATAAAATAAAAAAGAAAAAAGAAAACCAATTGACCTAAGCATGCTTAACATGTGCCAAGGGGCTAGTATATATAAAGTAAAAGGCAGAGAATGGTGAAATATTCAAAATACCAAAAAATGTCATTGGATAATACAAACATTAAGTGCTAGTTTGGTATTGCTTATTTGTGGTGATAAGTGATTTTTAAAAAATTTTGAGAACCCAACCCGTTTGGTAAACTATGAGAAAATCACTTATTGTTAAAAATTGCTGTTAGAGAAAGCTATAAGGGAAAGCAGCTAATGAGGTGCTTTCATTTTCTGATTATACAGGAATCAGTTTCGAAGAGGCGCTGTATTTAATGATTATGCGGCAATCATTTTCTGATTATGCATAAAATTATTACCAACAACATTTTTAACAAAAAATTACCAAATGTCAAACTGCTTTCTCTCACAGCAAATCTGACAATGATTATTTTCACAGCACAGCAATGCCAAACTGGCCTTAAGAATGGAAATTATTAATTAAATGAGGATAATATGGTAAATTCACACTTTTCATATTTAAAAAAAATTAAAATTAAAAGAAAAATCAGATAATGTATCCTATTTTTATTGAACACAACTACCCATTATCTTTTTAAATTCCAAAATAAATTTTAATTTTTTTTTAAAAAAAGCCAAGCGCGTGCATTGAGGCTAGTGATAAGAAAACAAAAGGAGGAAAGATAATTGAGTGATTTTCTTTTTTGGTGAAGAGACGGGGCTAACGCCCAACAAAGAAATTAAACAATGGCTCGAGGCCTACAGAGTCCAAGTAGATCTTCACTCAGAAAGGACCTAATACTATCAGGAGGGTCCTGAAAAGTTGACAAACCCAACTCAAGACATGAACCCAATTCAGCTAGTTTATCGGCTACCATGTTGCACTCACGATATACATGATGAATATAATAAACCCAGTTTTTGTTTATATAGTCCTTGCATCCCCACAACATAGTAGCAAGAGGGTGAAGGTCTTCCACATTTTTGTTAAGCAGGTGTACCGCGGTCACTGAGTCAGACTCAAGCACAACTACACTGCAACCTATATCCCAAGCAAGTTTCAGTCCAAGATAGATGCCTCATAACTCAGCTTCCAAGACTTGTCCTACACCAAGATTGACAGCAAAGCCTCTCATCCACTACCCAGAACTATCTCTTAGTACACCCCCAGCAGCAATGCGTCCATCCTCACCTTTTCTGCACCAGTCAGTATTGATTTTAATCACTCCTTCATTCGGATATTGCCAAGAGAGCGCAGTGAGAGAGCGGGTGGGTTTTCTAGTTTTTTCAATATTGGCTTGTGTCCAATCTACAACAGCCATAAGAATGATGAGTCTAGGGTTGCTGGGAAACACGAACCCCTGATCAAAAATATTTTTGTTCCTCCATTTCCAAAGAAACCAACAAGTGAAAGCAAACATGGTTATCATAACTAATAAATAAAAATAAAATTTACTTGGCATTAGAGATTTAATTTAATTTAAGTAATTAATGAAACATAATCTCAACCATTCAATCCATTATAATCTAATGGTTGAAAATTTGTGGCAAGACTTGTGTCAAAAATATAGTGTCACGGATCTGCTCCCTATATATATCCCCATTTATCTAGGGATTCCTAAAATAATTTTATTCGAGGGACACCTTTTAGGGTTCTGTACAATTTTTTTTTTCACGTTCCAAACTGTCTATTTTTCAAGTGTTCATTCATAAATCATCCTTGCAAAAATGAGGCAAATTGAAAATTAAGACATCTAATTGGGACAAACAAAATAGACTAACGCGGTATTTCAAGAAAAGACTATAATAACAACCATCTAATTGAATGGTTAAATGATTTCGGATTCAAGTGATGATTTGCAGAGATTAATTTTGTAGGAATATCTAAAAACTAGATGGTTTTGATTATTGAAATACAATGTTTAATGTACCATGTCCATACACTGGAAAAAGTCATGGCCAGCGGTGCTTGGTAACAATATCCAAATTTACTGAAAAATTGTAGGTGGCATAATATCCCCACATTTCTGTAAAAAATAAAAAGCAAGTTTTTTTTAGCGAGATCCTAGTCTAATTAGGATATTTATTTCATAGTATATTAGGACTCTATTTCTTTCCTTTTGTACAGATATTGGGTAATTTTTATTTTATCTTGTTTCCAAGTTTGACCATACTAGGGTTACATTCTTGTATTAAATACCTCCTTTTGGAGAATGAAATACAACCTAAAAATATTATACCAATATTATTTGATTTGGCATCAGAGCCTATTTTCTGGTGACATGTGTATTGTGCCCACTTGTGTTGCACTGTGTGCCCTAATTTCTTTTAGGGTTTTCTCTTGTACCCGTGCATGTGCCGTGTTTGTCTTATCTGCATCGTGTTGTGTTTCTGCTGCTATCATGGGTGATGATTCCAAAGTTGTGGTACGTTCTAATGTTTCTGGAACGAAAAAGCAACGTCATTTGCGTGATTACTCAACCCCTATTACTCCTGACAAATTGGATGGCTCCAATTATGCCTCTTGGTCTCGTAGTGCATGCCTTACGATTACTGGTCATCATATGGCAAATTGGATCAATGGGAAGAAGACTGCTCCATCTCCAGGCTCTGCTGCCTATACCGAATGGGAAGAAGATAACTGCTTGGTGCAGTCATGGCTTCTCAATTCCATGACTAAACCAGTTCGTGCTTGTTTGAAGGCGGTGCTACTTCCTTTGATATATGGGAGGCTGCTCGGAAGACTTATACTGTGACTCAGAATAGTTCTCGGTTGTTTCAACTCCGACGGTAGTCCATACTTACATGTCAGAATGGTGAATCTGTGAAAGTGATTTATGAAAGTCTCTATGCTATCTGGCAGAAGATTAATTGTTTGCTTCCAAATGTATTTAGTTGTTTTGTTGATGTAGCTTGTCGTCAGAAAGAGAGTGAAGCCAATCGAGTTCATGATTTTCTAGGAGGACTTGATTCACAGTATAATGGTGTATTTAGTAGAAGTCTTGCTCTCAATCCTGTCTCGCCTCCTTTAGAAGCTTATATCATGGTCATGGAGGAAGACACTCATCAGTCTGCTATGCTCGGGGGAGGTGCGATGGCCCTAAAAGTGGATCCTGCTCGTAACTGACTCGCCGCCCGTCAAGATACGACCGGTCACTCGTCATCTCACAAGCCCGCATCTTCTAATGGTTCTCGTCCTTTTGAAGGTCCTCGTAAGTGTTGTCATTTTAATGGTGATCATTACTCTGAAAAGAATTTTAAAGAGCATGGTCACCCTGATTGGTTTGCTGACTACAAAGCTCGCATGTATAGTCCCAAGGCCGCTTGCACTATGACCCAAGACGATGCCAATCCTCAGGCCTCGTCTGCAAATTTGTGTGCTTCTAAGACTATGTCAGGTATGGGCTCCAATACTTGGATAATTGACACTGGTGCTTCTGATCATATGACTTGTGATATTAATCTGTTTGATGAGTTGTCTCGTACCCGTTGTGACCCCTATATTACTAGTGCTAATGGTTTACCTTCTCACGTTACCCATGAAGGTACCATCCACCTTACCCCTTCTTTAC